ACAAGTAATTGTAAGTCCATTGTACTTTTTTATCTTAAGATGGATGAATAAAGCTATTATATATATATATATAAGATACCCCGATTCCGGTTTACGGGTACCGGTGATAACGGGTAACTCCCCCCTCCCTCTAGCACAATGTTGGTTCAGACCATGATTATTGGACCACAAATCAACATTGTAGACGTGGAGGGGGAGTAGCTAGAATAAGCTAGTTTTTCGCCATGTTGCCATGGCAACAGCGACATTGTTAAAATCTAGTGCTAAATATTCCACTGATGTTAGATATTGCTATCAAGTAGAAAAGAATGCGCGATGTACATTAATAGGCCAGTACTGCAGAGATGTCGGGCAGATGGGGGACAACTGTTTGGAGCCCCTTAATATAACTACATAAAAGTAAACCACTAAATAAGTGGATTTGTTTAACTTTTCACGTTTGTTTTGTCATTTAGAAAAAAAAAATTAACGTAGAAAAAGTTAATATATTTCTATTATATACAGTAGCTATAGCTGTTAAACAATTTACCTAATTCCTATACCTGAACAACATCAATATCTAAAAATTAATTATCCTTTGGAATTTAGGAAAATAGTGTGCAATATTTTGAACCAAAATCTTAGGAGCGAACCATCAGATTTTTTTTTTTTTGGGGGGGGTGTTGGAGGAATTGCTGTCGGAAGGAAATTTGTTTTTATCTGCCAAGCAGCGCAAGTATTTTTTTCTAGTGAAATAGTTGTGAATGAATTTTTTTTATCTTGACCACTGCAATAATTTTTTCTCATATTTAAATTTTTCACGACAAGTATGCAATGATCAAGACAATATGAAACTGTATACAACCTCAACTGTTGTGAGAGAGTAAACTCTGGTGGACAGTAATAATGACATTAGGAGCTAATCCGAGTGACTAACGATACCACACAAACCATTAAAGTAGAGGAAGCTCTACTAATTGGCTCTACTGAGATTCGAACTCAAACAAATTTGCCTGACTACGGTGGGAATAAAACTCGCAACCTTTGGTATACTAGTACAATGCTCAGTCAACTAAGCTACGAGGTCAAGGCGGTTCGAATATGTGGTATTATTATGATTCAGTTACAAAATATCAAAAACACTTGAAGTGCCATCTTTCAACGACATGCTCCCAGATTGACCTGTATCTCAGTCGCTAGAGCATTGGACTAGTAAACGTAAGGATGTCCATGGGTCCGAATCACAGCCAAGTGGAGTTCTATCTGTATTTTTTTTTTATTTTTTATTTATTCATTTTATCACACACATTAAGTATATACATAAACGTAGAGATATAACAATAACAATAACTAGAAAATGCTGTGACAGGAGAAGAAAACAGAAACTAAATTCCAATTGATATTCGACCCCTTAATTAACAATTAATGGATAACGAGATGTACTAGAACAATTATGCACGAACCTATCACAGACTTGTATGGTTCATCACTCGGTATGGTTCGTCACTTGGATTAGCTCCTAATATCATGTACATGCATATACAACCTTTTTAGACATAAAAGCAATGGGAAAGAATCGCTTTCCCTGACGTGTGGGAACATAGAGAATCCAGAAGACAGGGACTGGAAACGCCTAATGTTTTGCGCGTGGCATCCATGATGTGCTTGCGTGACGCTTGTGCCATGTGACTTGAATGGCCTGTTGCTTCGAAAACGAATAAAACGATAGATTGTGGACCGGTACTTGTCTGCTGTTTTACAGCTCTTTATATACGGTAGTGCAATTTTTTTTAAAATAATCTACACCGAAAAGGGAGTTAGGTATATCACATTATGTGTAACTGAGTTTATAAAACGGATTTGCTTATTCAGAGACGAGTCCAAAGAATTTTCGAGCTTGTTCAAAAATTTTGATTTCCAGTTAGGGGTGGACTTTCAGGCACGATTCAGGTTTGTTTGCGTATTTTAGTTTTCTTTAATTAAGTTTACGTATAGTTATTCAATTTTGCTTCACTGTAATTACGTTATATAAATTGATTGAAGTTATCTTTTCGAAGTTTACCTTTTTCTGTATTTTAAAATTTGAATTTGGCAATTTCCGTTTAATTAATATACCTTCCATTTTATTGAGAACAAATTATTTCTTTCTCGAAAACCCTTTTTGGCAAGGCATGCGCATCCATCGATTCATAGTTAATAGTAGATTCCTCCCCCGGAGCCCGCCAAAATCCTGCCCACTGCAAATCAGGCCCCCCATAAATTCGAGGGCCTGCCACGCAGGCTAAGTTAATAGAGGAGATGGTTTGGAAGCTCGTTAGCATTACAATAAAATCACAATAACCTCATTATCTATGTTGTTCAGGTTTATGCAAAAATGTGGTCTTTCATCGTCACGTGCATGCGTATTGTATTTTTCTCAAGTCAACCAATAGGAATGTTCAAAATGTCCTATTGTTAAAGTCATGGATGAGCAATTGGACAAAACCGTTGCTATTGGCTGGTTGAGCAAAAATACAATACGCACGTGGCGATGAAAGACCACATTTTTGCATAAACCTGAACAAAAACATAGATAGTGAGGTTTACTGTAATGGTAATGAGTTTCCAAACCATCCCCTCTATTAACTATGATCGATTAAAAAGAAATAAAAACAAGGTTTAATTTCAGTTATTTTTAACGGTGAGTTTTGCATGTTTAACACTCCCAACTTTCGACAATGTCAACAAGAATGCCAATGGTAATGGCGACTTTTTTGCTGTCAAAAATATTACGCAATCATTAAAAGGTGCTTTTTGCCTTTGTTTGACACAATATAAGTTTAAAAACCGGAAAAATGCATCCACAAGTCTATATTTGTTTTAAATATGTAAATTGGAAACCCTAAACTTTATTTAAACTGTAGTTGCTGTGTTCGAAGTCAGCCGGTACAAACATTGCCGGACAACAACAATGCCATTGCCCAATGGCAACTTTTTTATAGCCCGCGTGCAGGCCCAAGGGAAGAATAGTGGGCCTGCAAGCAAGGCCCGGTATTTGAAAAACGCCCCTTTTCATAACACGCCCCATTCGCGCGTCAATTGTCAAAAAAGAACCAATGACAGCAACCCAAATAGTAACAAACAAACTCGCATTAAAATTTGCGGGGTTTTCTCTGCTTATTCAGAACATAAACAATGTGTAAATGGCTGTATTTTAACTCCAAAAAAGCAAGAAAACCAGTCACTAATTGCCAAATTTGCAAGTGCTCATTTTCGACTAAAATCGGAACAGGCAAATTAGGACGAATTTTAACAGAAAACCAGTCTCAAACTTCAAATCGTGAGGGAAGTCGTGCGACACATTAGCATTATTGTTGCTTCGCTGTACGCCGCCATCGGTTATAAATAAATTGTCTCACTTATCAGATCGTGCGTGCAATTCTTGTTGGCGACGGAAAGTACGAAATTTATTTCAGTTATTTAATTTGGTAAAGAACTCAAAACTACAAAAGAAGAGAGCGTTCAGAGTCCAGATCGTTTCATTTCAAACGGCAATTACCGTCTTCTGTTTCGCTCTCTCAGCGAAGCCTTGCAAATCGCAAAGTGTTTCGAATAGCCTTACATGCAACGTACTGCCTCTAAATCTTCACCGCGAAAAGCGCTGTTTTCTTCAGTGCAAGAACAGAGTCATATAACGAACATATAACGTATCAAGCCTGTTTGAAATTAATGAAACTCAAGTAAGTGTTTATACTACAGTTTACCCCAGTCGTAATGTTGCTATTCCAACACTTCACGACAAGCAATCTCCATTGGTATAACGGCAAACACATCTCTTCCTTTAAGTTGACAATAGACAGTCTGTTCTTGTTCCATTTCTATTCGAAAAAAGTGATCAATTTTCGAATTGTAAGCTTATCGAGAGCCTTTGTGATGAATCACTCATCTAATTATGGAATCCAACAGCAAACAGCCAATCAGAATGCCGCGTACGTGGGCGAATGCGGAAAGTACAAAATACCGGGCCTTGCTTGCAGGCCCACTATTCTTCCCTTGGGCCTGCACACGGGCTAACTTTTTTACAGTCAAAAACACTACGCAAGCATTCAAAGGACGTTTTTGGCTTTGTTTGACCCGATATAAGTTTAAAAACGGGACAAGTGCATCCACAGTTCTATTTTTGTTCAAATATGTGAATTACAAACTCTGAAATTTATTTCATTAAACTATAGTTACAGGGTTCGAAGTGGGGGCAACAGAAATGGCCATCTTCTAGTTGGCGCAAAAGTAATTTTGCCCGTGAAATTTTCAGTACACATTTTTGGGCGAATAAGCCGAATAAGTTACCAAATTGATATAAAAAATAGCCTTTTCGATAGATTACAATCTTGTGATTACACATACTCTGAACAAAAGGTACAAAAAAGTTTATTTTTCAGTTGCAGGGTTAGTTTTGCCAGCGAGCTTCCAGAGTAGTATGACAATAACAATTCCCGGCTAACAACATTCGTAATTCTGCATGTCAATCAAATTCAGTGTCAATCAAATTCAATCAAATTCAGACTTGTTACCGTGGTAATGAAGTAATTGCTGCGTGCAGGCATATCACGGATGTCACGACTTGTCATCATATTTCTAGCTTACGTTTCCAGTCCCTGTCTTCTGGATTGTCTATGGTGGGAAGTAAGACCTGTTCCGGGGTAGTTCCTCTCACGCAGACCATCATACTGCAATCACGAATCATTGATACGGATTTTTGAAAAAAATGTCAAAGCTTAAAGCCGATATAACTGAAGGTTGTTTATATATTAATTAAGATTTAAGTGTAGTTACAATCTTTAAAATTGAAATTATATTCTTTAATATTCTGTTATCATCAAAGGATGTGCAATTGAATTGGTAGTATGGGCTTGCATGTACACGGACAAAACAATAAACTGGCAAGATTATTTATAACTACACAGACCCTGTACGATATTATTTTTTTCGAACTTTCCCGGAACGATTTTTTTGGTTCGTTTCTGAGTCTTTGTTTCCGCCGCAGGTTGGATTACCGTTGAAATATTTTTCCGAAGACGACGCTTTCTTGCTGGGGAAAGGTTCTATGGGTACGTTTGTATATGCTGGTGTCATGGAAGATGGCTGTGAAGTGGCTGTAAAGAGGACGTTGATACAATCGAGTGAAAATCTTGCTGAAAACGAGAAAAATATCCTTAGTCTCCTTCAAACTAACAAATCACCATTTATAGTGAGCTATCAAAGTTTTTTAAAAGACTCTACCTTCATGTATTTAATGGTTGATCTTTGCGAAGAAACATTGGAGAATTATGTTCAATCCCAAAGTATTCAACATCTGAGAGAGCATGGTCCAAGGATGATTAAAGAAATCTTACGCGGTCTTGACTTTCTCCATGATCATGGAATTTTACATAGAGATCTCAAACCAGCAAATATCCTGGTTGATGTCGAAGGTCACATGAGGTTGGCAGACTTTGGAATAAGTCGTGTTTTGAGTGAAGACGAAACAACATGTCTAACTGATGGAAAGGGAACCGAAGGCTGGATGGCTTCGGAAGTTCTTGAAAGCAGAAATAGGGGAAGTAAAGGGCGTTTTAAAAAGAAATCAGACGTTCAAAGTGCAGGAATGGTTGCTTTCCATATTTTAACTCAAGGTGGACATCCGTTTGGTCGCTCTGTTTTTAGTTGTATACAGAATGTTTTGAAAGGAAATCCAGTTAACTTGGGCATTCTTGAAGATCTTGAATCCAAGCATTTTGTATCATTGTTGATCCGTCATAAAATTGATGACAGACCCTATGCCCATGAAGCATTGGAGCTTCCTTTCGTAGATCAGGTACAAAATTATGAAGGGCTTCCCAAACCAAAAATCTCACTACGTAATTACGAGTTAGAATAAAACCGTTCATGTTAGAGCTGTTCTTGACCGGGCATATAATCCTTTCACGGCAACGAGTAATTAAACAGAAAAGAACAACTGAAAATGGAAATTCCTTTATCCCAGTTTACACTTGCGCTGAACTTCTTATGGTATATGTGAGCGAGTGTATTAGTCAAGAATTTTCATATGAGGTTAGAATATTTATCCCCGAGCCGGCGGCGCGACGCGCCGTGCGAGGGTACTAATTCCGCACGGCTAATTATACCCGGGTATGTGAAAACATAGCGGAGTGCAAAGTTGTCCTCCATTTTGTTTATGTCATGGACGGTTTTCGACGCTATGCGCATGCGCGAGTTCAAAATCTGTCGAAGTAATTTCATTTTGAAAGGAGTATTTTGCTGTTTTACAGCATTTTTTTGTTTTAAATTTCGTTAAAAAGTTTACAAAAGTACAACACGGTTTTTTTGTTCTCGATTTTAACTGGAAATAAGCCTGCAGTTTCATGAATTAGTGGCTGTTCAACCGTGAGACAAAGTTTGTATAATAATTGTTTTGATGTATTGATGTTGATGTCTTTGATAATTTAATCGTTGTTTTGCCGGTTTGGGTAAGTGTAAACATTTCAGTAGTAAAATTCCATGCCTTACTTGCTTTGTGTTGTCGGTTTTATTCATATCTGCGAAATTTTTAAGCCATTCTTAACTCGATAATTTACGTTAATGCAAGCTGGTAAGCACGAAATTGCAGTGAATGTTATCGCTTATTATAAAGCTAGCGCTTCAATTGTTTTTATGTTTGTTTATAATGGTCTTAATACTTTATGTGGAGTTTTTATACTTCATCAGTTAAGACAGGCGAGGGGTTGCTGCATGGATGTATTTTCTAGTAACTCTTCTATTCGTTCATATGATCGCAAGAAGTAAATAGCAACAGATATCGCTGCAAAAGTGCATGTGTAAATTCACACGATCGATTCGATCTAAGTATATCGGATACACATTAAATAATTTGACCAATCAGGCACCAGCATATAGATTGAATGCATAATAGTATTTTTATAGTTTTATTTTTGATAAAGAATTTTTAATTGAAATTCTAGTTTGTGAATGCATTGTAATGTGACGATTGTATACAACAACAAGTATAGCCTTCACTATTATGTAGTTATGTGCTTGCTTTGTATAGCTTTAGCTGTCTGCATGTTCTGTCTGAATCACGTACATTTGAATGAACATCACTGTCATGTACATTTCGTTGGTGAAATATTACCTTTCCGAACAAAAGATGGCATATTATGACAGTATGGGTAGAATATGTCTTTGAAGTGTACCACCAAACAAAATAGTCCCAGTGAACGTTGGCAAACGTATTATTAAAGTTCTGAAATGATGATCAGATAAGAGTATTCGGTTCGCAGTTTTGATACAGTTTTGATATAGTTAAAGTCTCTCCACATGATGGAGATCCATTTCACCAAAATGCTCACCGCGCGCTCAATATTCAAGTTTTCTCTCTCAAATTTCGCATGGTAATCACAAATCATTGTTGTAGCCAATGATTTGCCAAAACGTCTACATCTTTAAAAACTGTACTTGCTACGGGTTGCTTTTGAAAGTATGACGGCCTTTGCGCCACGAGATCAGAACGCTTCTGCTTTACTTCAAAAGCTTCCGAAACATAATATTTCCCATCTCAAATGATCAAAGAACAAAACCGTGTTCTGGTTTCTTGACAGGTATTGTATTTGCTTTCATATAGCCTGCGTAGTAGGCGTTTAGTGCGGGCGGGAGAGTAGTTGCATGGCGGTCTAAAATAGCGCCTGCTGCATTTGGTAGTGTAATTTGATAACCGCCCACTTTTTGTCCTTGTCCAATTAGCCAATCGGCAAACACTAAATACATTAATAATCAAACTGTCAAACTATGTTATTGTTTGGTCGCAAAATATGTCGATAGGAACGCCATATTTTAAAGTTTCAATCAAGACCTCTGAATCACGACAAGAGGTAGAAAAGAAAGCGCGGAAATGTAAATGACCATTGTCCTTTGTGTATAAGTGTACTTTGAAACTGAAATACGGGGCAATAGAGAAAATATCTTATATATCGTCGGAGAAATTATTTAAGTCAAGCAAAAGAAACGATTACGACAGTGGCAAAACCTTGCCAAATTGTGTTCACTTCATTTAGGAATCGAAGTTAATTCTACATCGAAACTATCCGACCGAGTTTGTAACCATGTGGGCGAAAGATCCGAAACGCAAGCGAAGTGATTGCCATAATCAAACGAGACATAAACGCGTTGCCTGTGCACGTATCGAACAAATATACCTTTGTAAAACTTCATTGCCAATAACTGTCTCGTCTCCCGAACGAAGCCGTGCGGTAAAGAAAGCCTTAAAAATTTCAGAAACAACCTCGTACCCAGGCTCTTTCCACTGCCGCCTCGCTGTAGCGGTAGGTGCATAGTAGTCCTGTTATTAAACCCGTTGAAAGAAAGACTATACGGCCATCTGTATTTATTCTCGTTACATTTTCTCGCGCCAGCAGTCAACAAGAACAATGTAAAAATCAAGCTTTTCCCACAGCCTGTATGTAGAACGGCCAAAGCATTCTTTCCAAGGAGTAAATCTTTAACTGCTATTTCTTGTTCGCGCTTGAGATTTGAGAATCAATTCGCGTTTCGACTTTCGATCCCGAGAAGCGTTCAGTTTTACAACAGCTATGCGAATTAACACTATATGTTACTTATTAAAGCGTATTCACTTTTGGGTGACAGCGGCTCACACTCGCAGCCAATCATCAATTCCCATCCACTGGTGGACGGGGAATTCGATTACACTGCAAAATTCAGGCCGCCTGCCATGCAGGCTAGCGAAAGAGTGGAGGGCGTCGTCGAGGAAACGCCTGCCCAAATGCCTATGACTAATGTGTTTTTGACCATTAAGGGTGATTGACGTTTTGTAATTAGCATCTTCACCGGTTCATCCATTATCCAATCATGGTTCAGATTTATATTTGTTTTTTTTGCTCGGCAACTAGAGAGATTTTATGATATTTTTGACAACACGCAGCCGTTTTATCCTTTAAAGGGCTCCTGAACCACGGTTGTTTAACGTATTCTAAAGAAGCAAATAACAGTTGGGCATCTTTTGACGTGCGTGTAACGTGTTATTCTTAAAATCATCGTCCAACTTCATAGCTGCAATGCGAATTGATGTATTCTCAGCTATCTGGTCTTGAATTATACTTTCAACTAGAGGACAGACTAAGAACTATTTGATATTCGAATAACAAGACAACAACAAGAAATATTCGATTCCTGCTCGTGCTGGCATATAGCAAGCTTTAATTTGGAGATAATGTATCTGATTGAAAGATCAAACTTTTCCGTATCCCGTAGCGTAGGAAGAATGGCGATAACGTCTTCGATCACTACGTAGCAAATTAATAATAGACTTTCTCTGTTCCGGTTTCAACCCGATTTCGAAACCTAAAAAACTACCTTGAACTATCAGAAAGAATTTCCTCCAAAATATATTAACAGCCTAGACAGCCTTTTGGACAGCTTCATAACTTAGAAAAACCAAACATTTTCGCGCGAATCTTTGACAAAATTTGTTCTGGTCCAGTAATATGGGGTGCCATATCCGCCAAAATTATATAAATACGATATTATTAATTATTTTTCATATCATTATTCAGAATATTTTTATTATTATTAGAATATTTTATTATTATTAAGCTTATTTTTGTTATTATCCAGCTTATTTTTGTTATTATCCAGCTTATTTTTATTATTATTCAGCTGATTTTGTATTATTCAGCACATTTTTATTATTATTCAGCTGATTTTTATTATTATTCAGCTTATTTTTATTATTCAGCTTATTTTTATTATTATTCAACATATTTTTATTATTATTCAACGTATTTTTATTATTATTCAGTTTATTTTTATCATTCGGCTCATTTTTATTAATTAACAATTATTCGCCGAAGGCGAGGTGAATATCGCTGAATAAAAACCGAGACGAATTAGTATAATTACAAAGGTGACTATTTGAAAGAAATAGTACAACACATCTCAAGTTTTTAAAAATCGTTTAATTAAATTCATAAAGAAAGCGGTATGCGTAATGAAGGCGCACGCGATCACGTGAAGTTCTATTTTGAATAATTCAACATTCATGACAACATATTTTCCATTGGGGCTTTTGGCGTACAAACAAGCTAATAACAAACGGTTTAAACAGTTTACAAATGCAAATAAAAACCCTTCAATGGTTTGAATTTATATTGAATGTGAAAGAACAGTTTTCGAAAGTTCCCGATGGCAGAATGGCTTCGAGATTACAGCCACTTTCAATGAGGAAATTTTCTTGTTGTGAACTGAAGTATCTTTGACCAGAACTAGACCGAAATGATGGAAGTAAGTCAGTTTGTGCTCTGGGTAGAGAAGTAGAAGGATGACTAGCATTTCCAAGCTGAGACTGGGGGATTGGCGAGATTTCACTGGTTTCATGATCAATATACGATGAAATGGCGTTCGACATATCTTTGAACTGGTCGAGTGTCGGTCGTTCGCAGTAGCTTTCGACGCTTGTGTCACTTCGATGGCCTGTGACCGCTTTGATTTTACGCGTGTCAATGTTGTTTGACGATAGAACTGTTACTATGGTGGCCCTGAGCGAGTGGTTTGTTAGGTACGGGAAAATTTCGGCTCGGGTGGTCATGATTTTCAACATATTCTCGAGGGTGTTGCACTGTAAAAACTGATAGGTTAATTAAAATAACCTATTTGTAAAGGTTGTCACTTATATAAATAGGTTGTTTTAACCAATTGAATAGGTTATAACCAAAATAAATAGGTTAAAATAACCAATTATTTTTTGGTTGATCTCAAACATTTCGGTACAACTAATATAAATAGGTTAATTTAACCAATTAACCAAAGTAAATAGGTTAAAATAACCAATTATTTTTTGGTTAATCTTGAACAATACAACTAATATAAAAACAAGTGAAAGAAACTCTATAGATCGATAAAATTTTTATATTTATCAATGGAGTTTCATTTGTTTTGTATTTTGTAAAATACTCAGTAGTTCTAAAAATTATTGTAGTTAAATAGGTTGTTATCTTGGGTGTTTGGCCGATACTGATAACAATAGCCAGGTTGTTTTAAATATTTTTATAATACTCATTCATAATACATAAACTTTGTATGTAGCAAATAATGTCAACCACTAATGAGTTAAATTATAAGCCAATAATAATTGCTCAAAAGAAAAAACAGTTATAGGCAATTATAGGCAATATTAATTCAGTACGTCATAATCTTTGTTAATAAAATTAGAAAATGCATCTTATTTTTTACATATTTATACTGATAGTATACTATATACAACACTGTACACAGGGACGCCGGAACAATAATAAGGCAAAGGGGGGCAGCTGACGCACACCAAGGGCACCTCTATAGAGCAAAAGTTCAAAACATCCCCCCCCCCGTCGCCATAAAATTTTCGGTCAGTGTACCATTTTAGGGGTCAAAATTTTTTTCCGGACATACCAAAATTTTACATCAAGTTGAAAAAATTTTCTAATTTCCAAAAATTTTCCAAAATTTTTGTAAATTAAACTCATTCTTTACCAATTGTTTTTTGTTAATTTACTTTCTCTGGGCCTATAAATTACCTGAATCTTATGATTTTCCCAGAAAAAAGCATCACTGGAAATGTGATTTATCACATAGTATTTTACAACTAAAAGGGCACTTCTGCCCCCTGCCCCCCCCTAGCAAAAGGCAAGGGGGGGGGGCAGCCGCCGCCCCCCCCCCCTGCCCCCCAGTTCTGGCGTCCCTGACTGTACAGATCTAACGTTGAATTGTTTATCACAGTCATTTCAACATATAGTATGCATTCATGCAGGAACCACACCACCATAAATCATCTTTTAATCTCGACGACTCCACATATTTGGGGTAAGCTGGCTATTTATGGGAATGAATAGTGAAAAGAGGTGGGGTTTTAGCAATTGACATGAATATACAGTTATACTACAACTTTAATAGTTGGTCTGTCATAAATCATAAACTGAGTTTATAGTGATCTAATATATTTTCAGCAAAATGTCCTGGGGAGGACATGTGGGGAGGTCTAGTCTCCAGAACTAAAATATTTCAAATATGTATGTACCTTATATTGCGTCGTAAATTCTTTAATTATTGGCATGCAAGGAAGATATAAAGATGGAATTAAGAGTTTCTGTCAAAAAAAGAGAGATACAGGATTATTTCCACTGGATTGTTCGCATTATTGAGATCAGTGCGTTCAGTCAATCGCGTTGCCAAATATGGGCTCCCATAAGGCTTAGCGAGCACACTCCGAGCGCGTCCTTTGGAAATTTTATTTTAACGTCGGTTGATATAGCCAAGATTTTTTAACATATTGAAGAAAATAAGAAGTAATACTCCAATTTTTGAAGATAAAGACAATAATTTTAAATGTAAGTGTTCAACTATGTCAATATTTTTAAGTTTCGTGTGTAAATATGTGCCATAAATAGTAATATATTCATGTATATTTTAACCGCCGTGCGTTGGCGGCATGTATATTTGTGTGAAAGGTTCAACAATATATTGTTAATAAAACTTAGTGATATTGCCTTGTATATTTACGGATTATATTTTCAAGCAATTAATACCATAATATGTGATCTAAGCAAGTCGAACTGTCGAAAACATGATATATACAGGCTACAAGAAGGTATGAAATATACAGTAGAATCAGTAGATAGAACAAAGGTAGGATTGTTCTCTCATACAAAGCTAGACTGCTAGAGAACTTGCTTTGGCGGTAATATCAATATTAGCTAAGTGAGTCAATATTGATACCCTCTCAATACGTTAACAATGTAAATATTATATTGTTAATGTATTGTCAGATGTATTGAGAAGGTATCAATACAGTATATTGACTCATTTAGCTAAATTATATCGATTTAATATGAGAACTATCCCTCCTTTGTATTATCTATATTGTGCTATCACAGTAAATAGCTCTATCCATATTTAATATCCAGACAATCCCTGACTGTTACTGAATACATTGAGGATACATTTTTGAGTTTTTCATAGTTTATATGCCTCTGAGAAATCCCAGGCTCACATTTTATGCATGAAGAAACTGTTTAACATTATACATGGAGAGTTTTCAGCCCGGGCTGAGTTTCAGCCTGGTTAAACGAGCTGAAATTGCATCACGATAATTTGCATGAGCAGTTTGAGCTCGGTCTGAGTTTAGTCAGAGCTACAGTATACCGTAAACCTCCGACTATAAGCCCCTCCGAATATAAGCCCCCCATGTATAAGCCCAGGTGTGCCACATGTACTAACGCTCACCCCAATCCAAATGTAAACTCCCCCATATATAATTCCTCCAAATATAAGTCCCCTAATTAATATAAGCCCAGTAATCGCTGCTTAATACATGTTTATTTCTTGTTTATGACTGATTTGTTTTATGTCTGACTTGTTTATTACTAACACAAAATATCGTCCATGTATAAGCACCCCCGTATATAAGCCCCCCCCCTTGTATAAGCCCATCAAAAATCGCTTATGAAAGTATATAAGCTCAGGGCTTATAGTCGGAGGTTTACAGTAGAGTGTAGCGAAATAGGAGAATAATAATCTATTATGAGAATAAGCCTGTTACACTTCTTTGAAGCATTAAGATGCTGATTAGTTGACTATTTGACTTTTGTGAGACTGTGGTTACATGTATAGTATATTTAAAGATGAAACAAACACTCAAAATGAAGCCATTTAAACAGTTCGTTTTTTAACCCTGGCTGGAATTATTTGTGATTACATGCTGCCGGGCTGAAATTTCAGCCTGGCAGCTCAAACGTGGCTGAATAATCATGTAATAACCACTTGCTATGTTTTAATAGGATTTTATCCTTGGGCCAGGCTGAAACTTAGCCCTGGTAAACTCTCCATGTAATCAGCCCCATAGGGCCACGTCCATATTCATGTTGCCACCAATAACGTCAAATCGGAAGTCAAAATACGACTGAATATCGATCAACATTATCTGGAGTGGGTGTGTGCCATGGATGAAGTGATAACATTGATTCAATGTTATTTGTGGCAACATGAATATTGTGACTTGGCCCCTAAGAGCTGTTGAATTCCCAAGAGCAGAAAATTGTGCACTTTACAAAGATATTTTAATTTCTTAATTAGTCAATATTCATAATATACTGTATGCAGTGTGCACACTGTCAATATTTTTGCATTCAGCTTAGTACTACACACATAAAAATTGAGAAAATCAACAACTTGTTCCAGGTTGATATCAGCAGGCGTGAACAAGGTTGTGCGGCCCACTATGAACAGTATTGTCAACATGTTGTTACAGCATTGTACAACTTAGCCTGCGAGCAGGCTCTCTGGGTGAAAGAGAGCCTGCAAGGATCCCTATGATATTTACGTGCATGCGTCCAATATTTGGACGCAGAGCTCTGATTGGTTGATACCTGATTCAAATGAAGTGATTGACAAGCTTCCATGAACTACACTTCCTGTTTGTAAACCGAGCAACGCAAAGCTTCAGACTTGCGGCAATGTAGAGATAAAAGTGTCATGTATTTTGTATCCTTGTTGACTTCTTACAGTAAAATAATATAGTATTCATATAAAGACGGATACTAAAAGCTTGCATGCTTTTATATTGTGTCCTGGGCTTGTCTGACTTCTAGGCTAAGAAAAGACTGAACAAATTCGCAAACCGAAACCTAGGGACAAGGAACTTATATATCGCTTCTCTTTCATGAAACAATATTGAGAATTATTTTGATAATATACAGTGCATATTGTTTGTATTAAGCTTGTTTTACAATGTTTATATACTGACTATTTAATATTTATAAGTATGCGGCGTTAAAATGTACAGTAATTTACTCGTCACTTTGTTTACAATAATTATCACATGCATGTTTAATACTGTAATTCCACCTTTTGTTGCAAAATTTGAACTATAAACATTTTAAATTATGTCCAATGTCCATGGTATATCACATTATACTATACTGGATATATATATTTATTGCAGTTATATTATTACTATACTGGATATATATATATTTATTGCAGCATGAAGCAATTCCAAAAAACTGAATTAGTTAGCGGGTAATATACAACTTTAAACTTACTGTGCCTACAGAAACACATGCAGATTGTAATAAAAAGTACAACTTGATATATTACACTGTAAAACCTCAAGCCGTTTTAACTTTTTAGTATGCCCCAGTGGCGGTCTGTATACGAAACTAACGAAAGAATACAATATAAATGGAGTTCAACGTTTATCGGTTTATGTTTACAATATTTAAGTGTATTTCCGGTCTGCGCTGATTGGTTGATATTGACCTGTGACATCCTAATTGAAAGGCGGCACGCAATCATCATAGGGATCCTTGCAGGCTCTCTTTCACCCAGAGAGCCTGCTCGCAGGCTATGACTGAGAAGAAAATTTAAAAAAGACTAGTGTATAAACTGTATAACTTAAAAATAATGAGTCAGGCTATTTAAGGTTTTTGTGTGATAGTAGGATTGTCTACAAATTAACTTGGACTGTAGAATAATCCCAATTTTTATTTTGTAGCCAATTACTCACCACAGAAAATTACAAATTGGCACAGCAAGGCATGTTCAAGGGAAAACCTGGCATTGTGTACACAGACCCTGAGAGATACCGTACAGCAAGAACTGGTTTAATTTATGGGCTTCAGTTACTTCACATTGTAAGTCATTGTGCACAACTTTATAATAGTGTGTGTTAATATTTCTCTGCCATTACAATATAGTGATGTGACTGTGTTCTTATTCGACTGTGTTAACCCATTGAGTTACATTGTGCCCTACTTTATTATTTTACTTTGTCTAACACCAGACTATTTTACTCGTTAATGGGTATAACTGTCCTATCCGCCCATGTGTCTAGTTAACCCATCGAGTTGCATCGTGCCCTGATGCACCCTATTTTAATGATTATGCTACTCTGTTTAACGCAAGATTATTTCACTATGTCTAATAGACTAATACCAGATTGATTACAGTGATTACAGTTTTTGAAGAAAGAATTGTTTAGTATCCGTACATGGATTAAACCATTAACCTATATTAAGATACTTAATCTATATAAAACCTTAATCTATATGTGTATTATAGAATTAGAACTTGACTATATATGTGTGTTTTAATCTGTATAGAAATTTATTCTATGTTTGATCTTTTTGTAGAGTTACAAAACCGTTGTATCATGGCAGCTTTGACATATGTCCTTGAGGAGAAGGAGCATACCTCAGGAGAACATTCCTTTAATTAAAGTTGTTCTTGTAAGTGAATTTTGTATATTTTATAACATCTAGATAGAATGTTTGTGATGTTACTCTGAGTGTGAATCCACTCCGGGCAAGCTGAAAAGTTAGCTTGGCCACGGTGGGAATCGAACCTGCGATCTTTGGGATACTAGTACAATGCTCTGCCAAATAAGCTACATGGTCAAGTCTGTTCGAGATGATGATATTTCGGAACTGAGTCTAGTTCCTTCTATATCAGTGTATTCTATATGATTATTTTTTATGTGTTTTGGTGTTATGTACTTGATGTTATGTACTCAGGTGATGTACTCAGGTGATGTACTCAGTATGACAAAAAATAATCAGACATATAGAATACACTGATATAGAAGGAACTAGACTCAGTTCCGAAATATCATCAACTCGAACCGACTTGGCACATAGCTCAGTTGGCAGAGCATTGGACTAGTATCCCAAAGGTCTCGGGTTCGATTCTCACCGTGGCCAAGCTAACTTTTCAGCTTGCCCGGTGTGGATTCACACTCAAAGTAACATCACCAACATCATATTCACTGAGTACATAACGCCAACACACACAAAAAATAATCTAGATAGAAACTACGAAGTGATGTATATTTTTCAGTGGTGACAAGTAACGAAGTAAATGTACTTCGTTACTTTACTTGAGTACTAATTTTGAGAAGTGAGCAAGTAACGAAGTAAATTTTTGACAGAGTACTTCTACTTGGAACGAAGTAAATTCAAAAAGTAACGTTTTACTTCGTTATTTTTATTTTGCGGTGAAGTATTCCGTTACTTTTATGGTATTATCAAATTTTAGTTCTATCTTTTACCTGATTCGGTGATTTCTAAAATGAATTTCGATTTTTAAACTCGACTCCAATCGCAATCAAATTTATAGTTATTTACACGAAGTACAGACAATTAATATATTCCGCTGAACACATGCGACAATACACGCGTTTCGCGCCAAATTATTGCGCCGAATTCACTGGCCCAATCATTGAACTCTACCCGAATTGCTTGGGCAGCCATGGCCGACAGTGATTTGCATATTGCAGACGAAGTCTTGAACGAAGGACAAGGACTAGAAGGTGTTAATACTATCGGTAAAAAAGGAGAAGAGGAGGAACATCCTTGGCCATATTCGAAGTCAATGTTTCGCTACAATGGAAGAGTGGGAAGAGACAACAAGAGCATCAAATTCATATGTTGAGACATCTTCCATTACCACGTGGCCTCTCTTAAAAGATCTTTTCATCAAAACAAACACAGCTCTGCCTGCTAGTGCAGCGTGTGAGCGTTTGTTCAGTGCAGCAGGTCGTATTCTTACCCCATTGAGGTCACGTATCGGAGACCAGAACTTTGAAAATCAACTTTTATTGAAACTGAATAAGTCTTTCCTTCAAAATCAGCCATAGACTTGCCATAAAACATAGTGCACTCAGTGAAACTCTGATGACTAATAATTCGTTGATATTGTCAGAACTAGGAAAAACGTCCATGTTTTGTAAATAAAACTATAATATATACTGGCTATGTTGTAATTGCTTTGTGTGATCTCTCATTAGAAAAACGTATTTGCGTGTCATTGGTATTAAATTGCAACTTTGAAATCCCTTGTAGCCGTAGACACCCATCATAATCCCCCAGTAGTGCTTAATTAAAATTTAATAAAAAATTGAAAATCCCAAGAGGCCTGAAGGTAAAATTGCGGTATGTAACTATCGTATTGTTGGTGGTCTATTAGTCTAATCCAGAGTATCATTCTTCGATATACTCTATACAGTACTTGTACTTTTTACTTGTACTTAAGTATTTTTGAAAAATACTTTGTACTTTTTACTCAAGTACGTATTCTCTCCAGTACTTTTTACATTTACTCAAGTCGTTTTAATGCGAATTACTTCTACTTTTACTCAAGTATAAAATCAAAGTAATTTAGGCACCACTGATATTTTTGTAGTGTAACTACAGGAGAAGAAGTACAATATTTAGACAAAAGTGTAAGTTGTGCATGAAATGCTTATTTCACTCAGTTATATATTTCCTTGTTGCAGGATGATTCTGAAATTGCTCCCAAAATATCAGGATGCTCAACCCCTCATCTATTGGCCACTGGACCTCTGGAAGAGATAAGTTCGATTTCATTGATTGCAGAGGGAATGGTTGTAAAAAATTCAGATACGATCCGTGCAATATTACCAACGCAGTGGCACGTTCGCTTGCAGGGTACTATGTTTTAACATGCAGTACCCAAAAGGGGCCAACAGGTCATAGTAAGAACATTTACATGTTTTAGTAATTTAGAACATGTTCTTTTGGCCAATAATTGCCATACCGGTACTTTACCAATTGACGTGGAGAACTTCCTAAGCTAAAGGATTTTATGAACGCATTGAATGGAACAATTTATGCTTATGAAATTTATGATAATATTGTATCACTAATTTAATGTATGTATTGTACATGCAGGATATATTGTCCCCAGGAGAGTTATGACCCTCACAATCATGGGCTATTTCTGTGAATGTTTCTATATAGTATAACTCTAAACTATATATAGCTTACAAGCTTACAATTATATATATAGCTTACAAGCTTACAATTTTGTGAGATAACCATTGTTTCTTCTATATATGAAGAGCTTTTTACTTTCACAATATAATATGATGACCGCATGCCATCAAACTCTGCTCCACTTCCACTTTACTGTTTTGCAATTGTCGCACACTGGAACTCAATTATCTCGTAGATTATTTTAATTATATATTATATATAAGACTTATGCATTCCTTAAGAAAAATACGTGATTTTTATCAAAGTACTGAAATTGTTTTAATATTTACTAATTTGATTTTGAGTCAAATATTGATTTTAACCTATTTGATTTTAACCTATTTGATTTTAACCTATTTTTTTTAGGTTAGATCAACCGCATGTAACCTATTTTAAAGGGCTGGTTTAGACTCATGGCCTTTACCATTATTTATGGGTTATTTCAACCATAAAGAATAGGTTATATTTGTATTAACCAAAACTTATAGGTTAAATTGACCAAATATTATTGGTTAAAATGACCAAATATTATAGGTAAAAACAACCTATATTTATTTGGCAAAAACAACCTATATCTCTGAGTAGATTTAACTGTTTAAATTTAGGTTGTTTTAACCTAAAAATAAATGTTATAATAACATATTTTAAATAGGTACAATAAACTATATTACAGGTTAAAATAACCCACTAGAAATGGTTTGTTTTAACCTATTTAGTTTTAGTTATTTCTACCTATTTAAATAACCTATTTTAAACCGGTTGTCCTAGACCAACTGAAATAACCTATTTTTTTTGGTTATTTTAACCTATCAGTTTTTACAGTGTGTGTCCGAGCTTTCGAGCGCTAAACCACACTGTGCAAGTATCAGAACTAAACTTGTCGCATGACTCCTTTGGTCTTTCAAAAAGAGCATCATTTTCTGGATTCAGATGGGCAAGATACATCTTGATCAAGGCTACTGGGCAACGTGGTGAACCTGGAGTAGAAAAAATTTTGCCGTCCGAATGATCTTCAGTGGCTTCGAGTCCTCCTTGGTGGTTTTTGCTCGTGAGGACAGTCCCCGCTTCGTTCTTGTTCAGCTCGAAGTATTCCTCGCCGTTGGCTGTTGACACTAGACGAAGCATTGACTTTTTCATCACGGCCTGGTTTTCTCGTCCTCTTTTTCCGAAATATAAGGAGATAAAGAACCAAGCCGTCTGAAGCAAAGCGTGAGGATTTAATGTTGTTGTCTCTGCAAGCTCACCTTTCTCGTACAGCTTCTGAATCGTTTCTCTCGTCAACGGCGTCTTGTGGACTGCCCCTGCAATTTTGCCGGTGCTTGAAAGATGCTTAAGGTAGGAATTTAGGGTTTTATTTGCTTCGCTGAACAGGTTATTATCCCAAATGCTAAATCTTTTTTCGTACGGCGGTGACTTTAGGTGTCTATCCAGAGCCGCTCGTATAGCCATCAAGGATGCTTTTTTGTAATAATTGCCATCACTTTTTCTTATGGAAACGTAGAATTTTGACAAACATTTGTTCATTTCGTCAATATTCATGTCTTCAAATTCATTTCTGAATTCTGACTGTTGTTGGAACCAATCTGTTGTAGAAGAAAATACATTTTTTGCAAACGTAAACAAATGTCTAGACAATTGTACGGCAATTTAATTAAATAAAACGATGTTTTTTAATATGTGAAATAAGTTTAGCAGAATTCTGCAACGTAGTTTCCTACCTCAAAATAATTTCAAGCCAAATTTTGTCGCTTCTTTCGTGCTTTTAGGTACTGCATTTTCTTTAAAATTATTTATTTCTTCATCTGTCACTTTGACAAAACGACTCGCCGCCATTTTGAAAAAACCGCGTAGGTGATTATCGCGTAATAATCCGAGGTCGCTTGACCAATCAGCGGCCTGAATTTTCGATAATCACCTTTATAATTATACTAATTCAGCTTATTTTTATTTTTCAGCTTATTTTTGTTATTCAGCTTATTTTTATTATTCATTTTATTTTTATTATTCAGCTTATTTTTATTATTCAGCTTATTTCTATTATTCAGCTTATTTTTATTATTCAGCTTATTTTTTATTATTCAGCTTATTTTTATTATTCAGCTGATTTTTATTATTCAGCTTATTTTTATTATTCAGCTCCAATTTTTCATTAGCCAGAGGTGACTAGCGCGGCCATGTGGACCGGAAGTCATTGAAAATTCACTTTTCAGCACACGTTCAAAATGGGGGAAAATTATGTTGGTGATAACTTGAATTTGAGAGAAATGGTGTATAAAAAACAGTGTTCTGTGGAGCAACTACTTATACAGCAGACCAATAATAACTTGTTAGATATACCTACAGTCTTGGTGGTGATCAATGGTGTTTGGAAGTTGGTAATTAAACGTTTTAGTTCTAAGTTTATACTGCCTAATAACATATATTCCAATAGCAAAGCATACGTGGGCAAAGTTTTGGTAGTTTTAGACACTATCCATTCATTCCGGGGGGAGGGGTTATTTTTAACACTGTATATTCCAATACAGATACGTGTGCTACTAGCTATAATGCTTAATAGGCACATTTATATTCACATCTAATATCATCATCGCTAACTTCCTTGTGAAAAATCCGCAGAAATTTACTCAAAAGTTACATGCTGTCTTTGGAATGATGCGGAAGGCCATAATTACGACGAACCAGGAACCGAACTATTCAGAAATAATCTGTTTGTGAGTCGAGTAGGTTTAAATCTCATCTCACAACATATCAAACTGCGGGGAAAGACAAATAAATATGCATTGTTTTCGCCTTTTACAACTTATACTTGAGAACTGGGGCCATTTCCAAGCTAAATTTCATTTGCAGTATAAGATTTATAGCACAGTTCATAAAGCAGACACTAGTCAAATTTCATACGTCTCAAATTACACGATGCTCACTAACGATTCTCGGTCTAAAAACGCTGATTCGCGTTACTATAAATTTTACTTGTCTTACATTTAATATCCATATGGGAACAAGAAACCATTTTTCTTAATTACAATCGGTTAACTTTGCAGATATCCCTTTTTAAGTTCGTTTTTGAACGAAGCTCACTACAAAACTGTAAATAAATCTATATCTCATTGGCTATTTTAGGACACAAAGTGAGAATCGTTGCTAGAAAATCATTCGTATCTTAGTCAGTTCGTTACGAAAACTTGTAAATTCGTGCTATCTTGCAAAACATGTTGGACTTTAAATGCGTAGGGTGAATTTGTTTGATATTGTCTGCTATTAAGGCTTTTATGGCGGGTGAGCCCATGAAAATTTGGTGAGATTCGTGGTGAGATTCGTTTCTATATTGATCTCATTGTCACATATACGCGCTTAGTTATGCTAACAAGATGGCTCAGTTGTCAGTTTTCTTTAAATAGAGTCCCAATACCGTTACCAAGCATGAAATTCAATGAATTGTGACTAAAATATGGCACTACAAGCCTTTAAATCTGATTTTAAATATACGCAATTTTGCAGCCGGATTTTAGCTATTTCCTAACACACGCATACGCAAACATTGTATAACACAATACACGAAAATTATCCGTGTGCAACGAAATTGCTAAAGGACCTAACAGAGGTGAAGAAATTATGAAAATAACCGCGTACACTGCTTGATGATGTATACAAGTTGAATTAAGTTAAGTTTAGGAGTAATGGTATTACTTCAACAGGCAATCTTTGACAATATAGATTGGAACAATCTAGTTTTCACATGCATTCGGTTGTAATATACCATTTCCTGATACATAATTTCCAACCTCCCTCCCCCCACTCGTTTCAATGTTGGCGCCGCGCATCCAGACATCACATTTTTGTTGGTCCAACATTGAACAGGGGGAACGGGCGGCGTTATTCCTTTCAAATTATATGAAATTACAGCAGTTGTCCCATAGTTTCTGGCAAAGATTGTAGTTTTTTAGAAACAATTGAAACGTTGATGCAATGTGTTGTTTTGTTGGACTCTTTTGAAACAGTTTCAGAAAATGTTATGTGTTGTTCAATGCAAGCACATAACCTGCTGTCGAGGAACACTAACGATATCAGAAGAAATAACAATCAAGCACAGCTCAATGCTGGCACCAGTTCGGTTGGTCGTCCTTCGTTAATTATTTCAAGGGAGCAAGTCGGGTATTTGATGGATTGCAATTTCACAGTCAAAGAGATGAGTGACATACTCGGCGTATCCAAAAAAACAGTTGAAAGAAGAATGAGTCAATATGAGCTAACAAACATGAATAGGTTCACTGCAATAAATGATGAGCGATTGGATGCCATAGTGAGTGAAATCAAAAGCTCGTCACCTGATTGTGGTTCCAAATTATTATCTGGATATCTTCGAGCAAGAAATATCCATGTTCAAAGAAGGCGTGTTAGGGAATCCCTAACTAGGGTTGATCCATTGGGTATTCAAGCTCGGCGTTGTAGAACAGTTCAACGAAGGGTCTATAATGTTTCACCTCCCCTTGCTTTATGGCACTTTGACGGAAATCATAAACTAATACGCTGGCGCTTGGTTGTGCACGGATGTGTTGACGGGTATATACCCGCAATCCTGTGCACAGGCGGCCCAATCTCTGAACGTCCTATATATTTTGAATATTTAACCGTTATTATATTTTAAAATAACAAAATAATTCAAAAAATATTAACAATATATGTAAAATATATATCTCACTTGTTAATAGAATCCATTTGTTGTGTTTCTGAGTCTAGTTGATGCGCGGATTGCTTTACGTTTTCGTCGTACTTGAACGGTCATCAGTACTATGGCACTGGACGACATGGCCGTATAGGACATAAATAACTACAAGGCTAGCCACTTATCTGATACACTCTCCGACATCGAGTCCAATATCTCGCCTCAGAATCGTCGCAGAGCAATAAATTTCACATCGTCTAATAGCACGAACGTTCCTCTTTCGAAAGAACTTGGTTTCTTCACCATTGCGGCAATTCCCGTGACACAGGACGAACTTTGTTTGTCAAAAGTCCAAATTTCCATTTTCGACAGAGGCGCTAACCCCATGGTAGTAGCCACGAGAGCTGCTCAGCAACCTGGCCTCCTCATTTGAAAACATTCTATCAGGGGGGGGGGAGGAGCTGGACTGGAATGAGGGGGCTTTCAAAGCAACACAATAAAACACACGACATAAATGTTTAATACTTGTTTATTGTCGAATACATCATGATAAAGTAATAATTTCTGTTTATATCGTGTGTTTTATCGTGTTGCTTTGAAAGCCCCCTCATTCCAGTCCAGCTCCTCCCCCCCCCCCTGATGGAATGTTTTCAAACGAGGAGGCCAGGTTGCTGAAGCAGCTCTCGTGGCGACGATCATGGGGTTAGCGCGTCTGTCGAAAATGAAAATTTGGACTTTTGACAAACAAAGTTCGTCGTGTGTCGCGGGAATTACCGCAATGGTGAAGAAACCAAGTTCTTTCGAAAGAGGAACGTTCGTACTATTAGACGATGTGAAATTTATTGCTCTGCGACGATTCTGAGGCGAGATATTGGACTCGATGTCGGAGAGTATATCAGATAAGTGGCTAGCCTTGTAGTTATTTATGTCCTAGTATGGCCATGTCGTTCAGTGCCTGTACTGACGACCGTTCAAGTACGACGAAAACGTAAAGCAATCGCATCACTAAACTCAGAAACACAACAAATGGATTCTATTAACAAGTGAGATATATTTTTCACATATATTGTTAATATTTTTTTAATTATTTTGTTATCTTAAAATATTATAACGGTTACATATTCAAAATATATAGGACGTTCAGAGATTGGGCCGCCTGTGACCTATGTACTTAAAGTGCAGCAACAACAATAAGGCGAACACTGTTCTAACACTTTTTGTAAAGACTGTAGATGATTGGGGCCTCCCATCAAGAGTGCGATGTGACAAGGGAGGAGAGAATGTCGATGTTACTCGTTATATGATTAATCGTCCGATGCGAGGGCCTGATCGTGGGTTTGCAATAACTGGCAAAAGTGTACACAATCAGCGGATAGAGCGGCTGTGGCGTGATGTCTTTCAGGGAGTGTTGAAACCGTTTTACATTCTTTTCTATTTAATGGAAGATTATGGCATACTAGATCCTTGCGTCCAAACTGACCTATGGTGTCTTCATTATGTATTTTTGAAGGAAATAAATGATTGTTTATCTCGTTGGGTTGAAGGATGGATACGACATCCACTAAGAACTGAGCACAATCGAAGCCCTTTGCAGCTTTGGATCACTGGCATGCGTTGGAGTAGTATAAATGTCCCTCAACCAGACAGCAATAACTGGGACCTTTTTGGTATTGATTGGACTGGTCCTATACCCATGGGGGATGAAGCCATTGCAACTACACTCGAAGTCCCGGAAACAGTATTTCCAGTGGCCGATGAAGTGAGAATTGAGTTGAATGAAACTTTATCCGAGATAAGCAGCCATCACGGAGATGACATTATGGAACAATATTACGTTGTACGAAATTGCGTTAGAGCAATAATTTCAGAACAACGTGGACAAACAACATAGTGAACATACTAGGGCTGTTTGATGTATACCCTGGATTCCAGAGCCTTCGACAGTAAATAATAAATTGAAACGTCGCGAAGGCTCTGGTTCAACAGGAAGATTCTTTGATTAAACCGCGCCAATCACAAAACAGAATTAGTGGTTTTAGTACAGAATCTGTTTAATCAAAGAATCTCCCCGTTTAACCAGAGCCTTCGCGACGTTTCAATTTATTATTTACTGTCGAAGGCTCTGGAATCCACAGTATTTGATGTACAGATATACTGTACATAAAATATAAGTATAAAATCCAATACAAGTACATGAAATCACAATGGGAAACAGTTTAGTAAAGTTTATTGAGAACAATGGTATATATACTGTATATATATATATATATATATATATATATATATATATATATATATATATATATATATATATATATATATATATATATATATATATATATATATATATATATATATATATATATATATATATATATATATATATATATATAATTCAATAAAGGCTGTATTTGCAACAGAGATGAATTTAATTGGAGGAAGGGGGGTGCACCTCCTCCCTAGTCCTGGCCCAAAGTGGGAGCTATATTTCATGGGAGAAAAAAATATTAGCGAACTGTGAACAATTACAATTCAGATACAAGACTAGCGATGGGCGGGCGGTGCACATCACCAATGCAACTCAGAACCAGAGCTGGCAGAACACCACACCAGATCATGCTGGATCAACCTTAAACTCTAAAACTTTAAACTTTAAGCATGCTAAGCATAATGGGATTGGGAACATCATTTAGTCAGTTTAGAAATCATATATGGGACTCCCTATTGCAATATTCAGCTAATAAACTTGAACTTGCGATCCAACTAAGCTTTGCACGCTTAGAGTTTAATGTTTGCAAAGACAACCTTTTGACAACCATATATATATATATATATAAACACAACAAAATTTAATTATAAAAATTGTTTATAAGATAAACATAAATACTGCATATATTCATATGCATTGACACCAAGTATGGTAACAGTTTTCAAAAAAATGTGAATAGACAAATTTGTTAATTTCAATTGTTTCCCACGTTTCAACTACCGCTAATAGTAACTATACTGTAATAAATTGTTTACTTTAACCTTAATAATAAAGGCAGATTAAAGGGTCCAATAAGAAAACAAAAAGAGAGCCTTTCAACCAAACGAGATGTTGTGGGAGTTGAAAACAATCAACAATCGAATGTTTGTGGGAGCTGAAAACAATGAACCAAAAAAACATGTTCAAAGGCACCCTAACAAGTGTGGTAATCCAACTGGAACAATATCAAAGTACACTAATATACAATCAACTCAATCACTCGAGTTTCTCCCAATAAACGTACATTCTTGTGTTCAACTAAGGTATACCAAAACCCTTAGCATTTCTAACAGCAAACTGAAAATCAGATTTGAAGTCAACATACTGAGTGTGGACAACAGGAAGACGGAGAATGCAGGAGCAAGTGTTTGCTTTAGGAAACTTTGAGAGAAGACCATTTTGTTCTGGTTCATGCAAGAATTCTAACTGCAGCAAAATGCTTCGACAAGGAACAACCCTCAACCCTGATGCAAAAAATAGAATGTCAGAAAAACTGAGTTCACATTCCTTTTCCTCAACATCCAACAGGAAATCTCTCCAAAACGCGAGAAGTCTGTTCTCTACCTCCCATCTGTTGGAGAGTTGTTCACTTCTATTCACAACAAAAAGTTGCTCAAATGAATCAGAACTTAACACTTGTGGGTAGAAACAAAACACTCTTTGGACCAAATCGGAATTCTTAATAACAGCATCAAGCAAACCTAAGCATGTTATTCCACTTTTAAAGCTCTCATAGGCTGCCCTAGTCCTATCAAGGACATACCAGTGAGCAATCTCACAAACCACATCTTTAACATCGCTTATGCTTCGCAGAGGGTGCCAGAACGCTCTTGAATTTCCTCTAATTTCTTATCTGCTATCAACCTATTGGCTTCATTGACCGATTCAACAGACATTAAATTTTTAAGAGACGACTGCAGCTCCAGATCATACACAGCATCAATAGGAACATGAACTTTCGCATGGCCTTTAATAAGAGAATCAAATATTTAACACAGGGCTAAAACAACTAGGAGCTACTCCAGCGTGAACTAGAGCCATTGAAATCAACTGACCAGCCATGACGCACTCGTCATGTTTCAGAGCCTTAGCATCATAAGACAACAACCTTGAATGCTCTTGCCCACAAAAAAGTTTGCTTGATAATATTGCTTCAAGGGATAAAGTAAAAAATTCCCTCATTGGCCCACCCATATCCACTGCACCTTCAGAGAGACCGACATCATCAGTAAATTTGACTGATAACTTTTTGTTTGGAGAAAATGACTTCCTAGTCATTCCTCTAAAAATACCATCGCAAATATTACTGCGGCATATGTTGAATTTGGAAATTTTTTCATTATCGATGTTGGCAGATGCAAGCTGTTGTAAAATATCACTAATATCCAGAACAACTTCATCATCGTTTGGAGAATTTTCATCAACTTTTTCTTCAATTAGTTCAGTATCTTCGTCTGATAGATATTCAGCATTAATCTCATGGAACAGAAGAGAGGCATACAGTAAATCATCACTTTCTTCTGTGTCCTGCATCTTGGTAGACTCTGGGTCGCCAGTCTCGCCACCAACCTATATGAACAAACTTAGTAATTGGTTGTTCATGAAGACAATGAAGTATGGAAATTATCCTTCTAAGGAAGCACTGTAACTATTGTTTTGTGAAGCCATTCGCACGAATTTATCATCCCCGAGCCAACAGCGCCGTTCGGGCGTTGTTGGGCCCGGGCAAAGTTACTAATTCCGTTCGGCTATTTACACTCGCATATTTGAGAATATAGCGAAGTGCTAAGTGGTGCAAAGTTGTCGTCCATTATGTAATAGATGGTCTGAAAAATTTTGTTAAAAATTTCAGTTTCTCCTCCAACCCCCCCGCCCCCCCTCCCCCCACTGTATTTAATGACTATCCCCTTACAATGGTCTTTTTCCTGCAACAAATGTGGCTTGACCAAAATATAAGTAACAAAAAGCTTGTGCGTATTTCAAAAGCAAATATATTTTACCCTATTTCCGTGCAAACTATTGTCAGCAAAACGAGTTTTTAAAGTTTCCCCTGCAGCTATACTCGAACTGTGTAATTTCCTATACTTATTGTTTAATATTTTCCCATATTATTTTCATGTTAGCATTGCAACTACTATTGTTTTTAATCATCAAATACTTCATGTGGGAACTTTTCGGATTTGAACTCAGCGTGTTCGAAAGTGTTAGTTCGAAAGTGTTAGTTCACAACACACAGACTATTGCTGCATGCATGTACAATATGTATTTCTAGTTTTAGTTTGGTATTTACCCTTGTCTCTGGATTGTCTGTTTCACTCGGATTATTCAGGAAGGTAGCCTCAGGTAGTATTTCCTCTTCATCAGCATCACGAGCATCATCAACTTCAATAACACTTATATTCTGATCCCTATTATTTCATATTAATTTATTACATGACTAAACATTGAAACTCAAATGAGGAAATAACTGGTTAATAAAAACTTATTTAATTTATGGTGTTGCAGATACTGTAGAGACAGGAGGCCAGGCTTTTAGCCAGAAAGGCTGGGACGCCCCTAGAATGAAAAATGGACACCTTTGGATGCCCAAATTCTGGGGGGAAAGGGAAATTATTTTCAATTGTTTTCCTAAGTATATTAATATATCTGAAACAAAACAGCTTCAATTCTCATTATTATTATACATTTGACATTTTGATCAATTTGATGGTGTACCTGGCTGAATAAAAATATCGTAGTTATAAGTAAAGAAGCATAGCGGCACAAACTCACAAAGCCAAATGCTTTGAAAAATTTCAAACAAGCTTGGAACAGATACTGACATGAAGTAACATAAACTTCAAAGGTTTTTCAGAGGGACATTTTCTCCCCCCCCCCCCTTACTGTCGATGTCTCGTTATACCAAAATTGGACGCCCTCTTTTAGAACCCTGGCTAAAAGCCTGCAGGAGGCAGTGGGGGTTATTCACTATTGGCAAATTAAAAATTTGAAATTATAGCATGATGGGTGGGGGTGAATTAAACAAGTGCTTCATCAACTGACTGTAATTTTGTTGCAAAAAGAAATTTTGGCCTTTTCAAGGAAATGTGATTGTTGCCTAGGAAATAAACATTACAACGAAATAGCAAGGAAATTTTGTTGTCAAGAAGGAAATAAGAAGGAATTTGTCTTATTTCTAATAAATCCTAAGAATACAGCAATTTCCAAGAAAATCCACATCAGAAATTGCCAAAAATACTGTCCTGCAGGAATGGAAAATCTGAAAATTTTCTGGAGGAGTGCCCTCAAATCCTATCAATTTTACTTTTTACAGTTGATTTCACATAACTTTTCTCTGAATGTTGCGAACTTTGTTCCGAACTTCGTTATGAAGTTCAAAAGTTCATACTGAAATCCACAAGCCGGCTTGTAAACAAAGCCTCTGATTGGCTTATTTTTGTACAGGGATCAATCGGAGGTTTTGTTTACAAACCGGCTTGTGAATTTCAGTGAGAACTTTTGAACATCACAACGGAGTTCCAAATGAAGTTCGCCACATTCAGGGAATTCAACTGTAATAGTAAATTTAGGTAAACTCCCATTTTGACGAGTGGCATAAGAAGCAATTTGATATTGGTGGGGGGAGGTTGGAGGAGGGTCTAGACATCTTTCTAAATAATGTATGAGTCAATTCCATTAGTAAGCATCCTCCTCCCTGGGACATTGCCGGGCATTTGCTAGGCACACCATTCCTGGGGCCGTGAATTTGCACACAGGTTAGGGATCGGGCCCATTGTTTGGCGGCTAAAAGACCCCAAACATTTGACACTAGTGAAAAAACTCAATTATAAAAAATCTTCTGGTATTAAACTTTAGTTCAGTAACAGTGTCAATTTACTTTTTGCCATCTAATGATTGTCCGGGGGGGGCATACATTTCCCTCCTGGTGTCTCCCAGCGAGCAAGGGATTTACCTTTTTCCTCCCAAAAAATTGCTAATGTCCAGGTATATTACAGGGGGGGGGCATGGTTACTCATGGAATTGACTCATGGATAAGAGCTGTTTATCCTTAATCTGTAGTGTAAGCCTACCTGGTATTTCTCGAGGTAGTTGCCGTTGTTGCCGTATTATTTTCAGGACATAAGTAAAGATGTTCCCTCAACTTATTCAAGGGGAATATATTCATACAATGATTACAGATTTCTTCTATGATTTCTCCTTGATCTTTGGCTTTAACCATAGCTTTTAAGTCAAGATCGCAATGTATTGGGCGAATATATACTCGTCCTTGTCCGACAAACTGTTTGAGAAACTCAATGGTATACCCATTTTCTCCCTCATCTATAACGGAAAGCTGACGAGAACTGGCTTTTGCGTACATAAATTCATATCCACCACCATCGGTCAACTTTGGGTATGTTTCCTTTAGTGCAGCCACAACATCAGACGAAGTTGAGTCTGCTTGTAGGGTTACCTTCTTTTCGCCAAGTCCAGCGACGAGCAACTGTTGCTTTTCATCATTATTCGGAACATCTCGCTGGGTGGTGCTCGCAAGACAGAAAAACTTTATTGATATTTCTTTCACTGATTTTCGTCTTTTCAGTGCTTTTGCATGATGATTTGTAGATGCTCTTCGTTGGGGTATATTGCCATTCAATGGAACGGAACGAGAGGTGGACGCATTTGCTTGATTATACGTTGCAAACAGCAAACATCCCTCGCTCTCGCCGGCCTGTTGTTTGTCTCCGCCTGATTGGTGACTGCTGAATATTCTGTACTTCTACTTGTTGAAGGCTGTGAGCTTTGATTTATAAGGCTAGATGCCGCTTGTGACAATAGACGTGCAGCTTCGGCCAGAGCTGGTTCTTTGGCCATTTAAATAAACGTTTTTTGAATAAAAATTAGTATAATAAAATTCATGCGAAGCTGCGAATACTGAACACGTCAACATATATTTATGCTGAAAAGTGAATTTTCAATGACTTCCGGTCCACATGACCGCGCTAGTCACAGACCTCTGGCTAATGAAAAATTGGTGCTGAATAATAAAAATAAGCTGAATAATAAAAATAAGCTGAATAATAAAAATAAGCTGAATAATAAAAATGAGCTGAATATTAAAAATAAGCTGAATAATAAAAATAAGCTGAATAATAAAAATGAGCTGAATATTAAAAATAAGCTGAATATAATAAAAATATGTTGAATAATAATAAAAATATGCTGAATAATAATAAAAATATGCTGAATAATAATAAAAATATGCTGAATAATAATAAAAATAATGCTGAATAATACAAAATCAGCTGAATAATAATAAAAATAAGCTGAATAATAACAAAAATAAGCTGAATAATAATAAAAATAAGCTGAATAATAATAAAATAAGCTGAATAATAATGCGAAATATAATATGGTATTTATATAATTTTGGCGGATATGGCACCCCATAGATCTCCAGATATATATAGTAGAGCTCAGTGGGAAGACCCTGGTAAAATCAATTAAATTTCACGCCCGCAAATTATTCCCGCCCGCATCGAAAGGCCTGCGGAGGAGGTAGCTGGTAAAATACGATGAAATCTCCAGGATTCTTGGAGATTTATCGCATGCGCAGTAACGACAACGTTATGTTGCTGACTACAATTAGCGCTGGCGTTTACGATTTTCTTGCTTAAAAATATACATGTTTTGTTGATTGTTTATGTATTTATTCTCAAAGTTTTAACAACTTTTACGAAAAATACTTCAGATATAAGCTGTGAACACACATGTACACAAAACTGTGCAACATTCATCATCATATTGTATCAATTTGTCGGAGTATGGCGCTCAAATTTGTGACATTGTTTTGTTCGCTTTGGCAACCCTCGTATATATCAGATGACCTCAGATGCTGTTCGGCCTCAAATGCGACTGAATAAACACTGATAGTGTTGCCTGGAATATGAAATAATATTGAATGATTGTTCCGTATATCAAGGTACGTACTGTACATTTATACTGGATTTATTTTTACACGAGTTTCAAACTATTTCAGCTTTATGAACAATGAGATCACATCACTAACATACAGAAAGACTCCATATTTTCTTATCAAATCTGATTATCGTTACAAGTAACAGTAGAAATGCTTCAAAATTTATTCTGTATGTAAAGCAGGCCAGCATGTTTCATTTTCCTTTGGTGGTAGTCACCACTCACCAAGTCAAATGGGCCATTTAATTTAATAGCCCCCCCCCCCCCCTATTGTCTACTGAGGTCTGGATATCCTATATGAGGATTTTATAGAGGGGCTTTTTACCTTAAATTTTTCTGGAGGGTAGCTTAAGAGATTTCCTAAAAATTGGGTGTTTTAGTGATATCCAAAGGGACAGGAACAATATCCTAAAGGGGTAGAAAGACATCCATAGGGGTTCCAAAATTGCATCCAATGGGGTTCCAAAATTATTAAAAGGTATTATGAAGAGACCCCTCAATAGGGTGTGGGGGCTATATTAGATGGAATGGCCCAGTGTGCTGCAACAACTTTTAAAATTTGTATATATGTTTTTAAGGCACAATATGTGATGGAGTTTGATATGATGATCAGCACAACCTGAAGGTCTTGACTGAATGAACAACTTATCTGATATACTCCTACTTCCAATACTTTGCTGTATATTATCACCAGCTCAGATGTCAGTTGGATCACTTTGAATGAACATTGGAGTGGCACAATAAAGTGTCTGTATTAGGGAGGAGTCTAACTGAAGTAAAAGGCACACTTTTGGATATTAATCTGAATCATAGCAACTACATATACTGTAGGTTTCAAATTAGTTTGAACAATGAACAACTGAAAATAGAAATTTATTTAATTGGAAACACTTAAAGGAATTACAACATATTATATGATAGTCATATGTACATGATTATAGGTATATTCATTAGTTTTACTAGATGATATTTATGACTATCCTGGGACAACATTTTATTTTTCCCAAGAGATTTTACTTGCGTGATAGTAATAAGTTTAATAGTAACAGAGAAGTGTGATGGATATGTGCAAGTAATTATCATTAGAAATACAAATATTAAACTGTAATTTTGACCATTGTAAATGTATTATTAAAGAAACAAAATACAAAAGTCATATTTAACATAATACAGTCATAATACTAGACTGGTTAAAGAACTACTGAATAGAGGGATCATGAAAATCTTCTAAGATTACTACCATAGCTCTGTAACAGGAAAAGATATAGTGAGTTAAGGTTTCTTCACCTTGAAAAACAAAATTATATAGCATTAGAAAACTATAATGCCATCAACTAATTCCCATTTAAAAATTTTCATGTTGGTCACTGTGAAATATAATCTTGAGGCCATCTTAATGCTTGTTTACTATCTGATTGATGACATGATTATATATATTTCCATGGAATTCAAGTTGTTTTTTTCCCAAGTTCATGCAAAATATGGTTCACCTGTTAAAATAATAAAATGTTTATTAGTTGTTTTGTAACAGAACAGTACATGCTTTAAAGAAAATATAGGAAAGATAAAATTGCAATAACAGTTGTACACTGTATATGGAAAACAGAATAAAATCTTTCTAAGCATTTCTACTACGTACTGTTATCATAATTGGATTATTAAACTGGTGAGATAATATGAAGTTTTTCTATATGTTACAGTAAAAACTGTGATTTCTGAAGAAGTCTTTCTGTTTGTGTGAAATGAAGTCTTGCTGTATGTGTGAAACTGAGTTTATTAGAAAATGTGATTTCCGAGACTCTGAGAAAATGTGAAAGCAACGTGTGAAAAAAATCGAATAAATTCAGTATAAATGTACATTACATACCTTGATATACAGAACAATAAGTCAATATCATTTCATATTCCAGGCAACACTATCAGTGTTTATTCAGTCGCATTTGAGGCCGAACAGCATCTGATATATACGAGGGTTGCCAAAGCGAACAAAACAATGTCACAAATTTGAGCGCCATACTCCGACAAATTGATACAATATGATCATAAATGTTGCACAGTTTTGTGTACATGTGTGTTCACAGCTTATATCTGAAGTATTTTTCGTAAAAGTTGTTAAAACTTTGAGAATAAATCCATAAACAATCAACAAAACATGTATATTTTTAAGCAAGAAAATCGTAAGCGCCAGCGCTAATTGTAGTCCGCAACATAACGTTGTCGTTACTGCGCATGCGATAAATCTCCAAGAATCCTGGAGATTTCATCGTATTTTACCAGGGTCTTCCTCAGCTCACGCGCCACCACGAGGAAGACCCTGGGGACGAGGTTGGCCCGCCAAAAAGCCGCCATATTTACTAACGAGTCAATAAAGAGAACAAACAGAGCGTTTAATTTATTATTTCGTCATGTTTTGTCCGCTGTGTGGTAACCGGATCTCCGAAAATCATAAGTTTTGTTATAAATGCGGCAATCCATCGCCTGGTGATACTGGTTGCTCGTCAAAGGCTATTCCAAAGCCACATTCTCCGGATAGCGATGACAAATTAAAGGTATTTTTAATATTAATAAACCTGTATTATGTAAGAGTTAATTACCGAGAACGAGGTTTCTTAGCGAGATACAACCCGAGGGGCGTGTCCCGAAGAAAGCATCCCGAGGGCCGTAGGCTCGAGAGATGCTTTCTGAGGGCAACGCTCCCGAGGGATGTATCTCGCTAAGAAACCGACGTTCGAGGTAATTAACTGACTTAGTTCAAATTTGTAAGGATTTTAAAAAATGATCATACTTACGCCCACTACTCATTAAGGTACATGCATGTACAGTATAAGCATAAACTAAAATTATTACAAGGCAGAACAAGGAAATGCAGTGAATGGTCAAGTGCATGCACAAGGTACAACAAAAGGAAATTAAGGAAAGTCACGCTTTATAAATTTTCTTTTGTCTGTATACGTTAAAGCATTCTATATGATTTGTGTACTTCGTAAACACTTATAGCAGTCATATTTTGTTAATTAACTAGGGAAATGAATTAATATTCTAAATTATTGTTCGTACAGCATACTGTAAATTCATATAGAAATTTAGCTAGACATGTAGATGAACCATTTTCTTCAGTTATGTATGTATGCATGCATGGAGAATGAGCGGTGGTTAAACTATGAACGACACAAACAGCGACGAAGATATCTTTATACCGCAAAAGGATGGACTGGTCATCGCGACATAAGATCGTTGCAGAAATATGAAAGACCCGATATTAAAACAAAACTGATTGAAATATCAAAATCTTTGGATTGTCGCGTTAGCAGGGGCTGCAAAGTTAACAGTGCGAGTGAAGACCCGATGCCGATGGCTGAGAAGAGAAATTCTACGAAGGAAGAGATGCAGCATAAACATATGGAAAGGAAGAGAGCACGGCTAGAAATGCCGGAGGGAAGTTCTTTTTAACTTCTATTAATTTGAACAATTTGAGTTTGAGTTTTATCGTACGAAATATATAGCTATAGCGTGTTAGGGACAGAGTGGAACAACTGGTACATGTATAGTATATACGGTACATTGTCAGTGTAATTATTAACTTTTGTAATGTTTTGATTGTAGTGTGTGTAAAAGCAGTAAGTCGGTGCATTTCTGCATCGGGTTTTATCTGTATAAAACCCGGCTTTCCTAGGGTTTTATCTATATAAAGCCGGGTTTTATATAGATAAAACCCGTGAATTTATAATTATTAATTCAATTCTATTCATCAACCCCACTTTTCCCTGGAGAGATATCAAATCCCTCCCCTTGCTTTAAGAATCTTACCCAAATAAAACCCGACTGAGAACAATAGAAATCCGCACAAATTTGAACTAAGAATGGTTGCATCCATAGACATCCTGCAGCTAACTTATTTATAGATTTTACTCGTACAAGTTGTATAAAATATCTTGTTGTTTTAATATATTGACGAGCATCTTCAATGGCATAATCAAATCACACATGTTAATAGCAAAATAGCCAAGATAAGAATAGTATAGTATAGGAATTTTATTTAAACTACGATGTTACAAGATATCTGTTTTCTTGGGCTAAGTACCGAATTTTGGCCTAAAAAAATGGGATAAAGTCCCTCGAAAGCATTTGCAACGTACTCGTCCGGCAAAATTTTGTACTCCGGAAAAATTTTTTTACCCCTAAAATGGTACACTGACCGAAAATTTTTTGGCAACGGGGGGGGGGATTTTTAGATAGGGGCCCCTAAAAAAAATTTGCCCCGGGCCCCCGCCAACCTCTGGGCAGCCCTGAACCAGCTCGAAAACTTTCCTCCTCTGGCTGTCGCTCACTACTGCTTTTTTGGTTTGAAATTTCAAAATATTTAATTATTTTTAACCCCTATAAATATATAGTTTATTTTCTTCCTGTATTTAAAAAAAAATGTAATGTTACAGTATGTCTTATGAAACAGTGTTAATAAAATTTTGAATTTGAATTGAATTTTAGTCCAAAGGTACAGGTTCAAGTTCAACACCAACATTTGAGGCATTTCAAGCAACAAAGAGGAAAGAAAGGGCATCTAATTTTAGACCGAAAGGGAATACGGCAAAGCGTAAAAAAAATGGTGATGATACTAGTGGAGAAGTTGCAATAAATTTCGGGATCATGTTCTACGATGGAAATCAGTTAAAACCTCAAAGATCGGCGAATTTATCAGTGAAAGTACCAAAGGTTTCGACCAAAGATGAATTGCTGGCGACTGGTTTGGCCAAACACAAAGCTCACTCTAAGAACTTAATCAAAGACAATATCAAATACGTTTTGCTGTACCCTGATGGTTCACTCGTTGATAAATTGAGAGAAAGTGATGAGAGATTTGTACTGTACAAGTACAAGAATGAATACGGTAAAGCATACCAGCGTATAAATTTTTACATTTGTCCTTCCCATGACTATGATGAGCATACCCTAAACGGATTAGGTGATCTTTGGGTTGAGTCGGATGAAGGTGACATAGAAGCAGTTAACAGTGATACTGAAATTGTTGATTTAGCATGTAATAGAAAGCAAATTAGGAGAACATCTTCAACTGTGACAACAGCAGACAATTTGTCAACTAGTTTAACTGTATCAAACCCTGTTAATACTGCAATCAATGTAACAACAGAGCAAAGTGGAGCCTGCTCGACTGTAACAGCAACACCACACAATTTGTCAGCTAGTTTGAATGTGTCAACTAACCCTGGGAGTACTACACTTGAAGGAACAACAATTTTGCATCATGGAAGTACACTGTCAACAGTATCTAATACATTGGATGAGAACATCAACTCTTTGTATGAATCCATCACTGAGATGTTTCCGCAGTGTAGCCCATCCCATGCTAGAAATGCTCTGTTAGCTACAGACAACAATCTGGAAGCTGCAGTAAATTTGATTATTTCTGACCAGGCTCCATCAAGTACCACAACACAAGAAATTTATGCTTCCTTCGAATTTTGCAATGATATCACAAATGACCCAGATTTTACATACAATAACAATCCAAGAGAAGACGAAACTGCACAACACAGTGTAGCAGATGAAATAAATTCAACTGCAGATAATTTACAGCTCTGCGACTTATTGATTCAGCAACGCAACCAAAAACTTAGGACGGACTCTTCTCTAAGAATAAAGGTCAGAAGAAGTCATGTCTGGGAGGATGTTAAAGTTAAGCTAAACAAATGCTCGGAGGAAGATCTTGAACAAGGAATCCGTGTTCAGTATGTGGGAGAACCAGCAGTTGACACAGGAGGGCCTAAAAGAGAATTGTTTTCCTTGCTTCACAAACATATGAATGATTCCAACTCAATGTTTGCTGGAGAAAGCAACAGTAAGTGTTTTTCTAACAATGTTATTGCCCTAGAACAGCAGGACTACCTTAAGTATGGTAGACTCTGTGCAATGTCAATCATACAAGGTGCAGCCAGTCCTAGTTTCTTTGCCTCTCCTGTTGTAGACTACATCCTTCATGGCTGTGTGGAAAAGGTTACAATTTCAGTTGAAGATGTTCCAAATGCAAAAGTTAGGCAAAAACTTGAGGAACTCCAAAGAACTTCAGATCCAGAAGATTTCAAACAACTGGCTTCATTTAATTGTTCCATGCGTTTCAAGGCTGGTTACACAAAGCCAATTGTTACAATTGAAGACAAAGCTTCATTGATACGGTACATTTGCCTTCATTACACTCTGCTGTATTCTTTACCTCACATGGAGCAATTCATCAATGGCTTGAAGTTGTATGGTCTTTTAGAAGTCATTCGTCAAGTTCCTGAGAAAGCGAGAGTGTTGTTCCAAGTCTGTGAAGAGAGTCGCCTAACTGCTGAAATTGTGGATGAGTTGTTTGAAGTGCAGTTTTCCCCTGAAGGAAGTAATAAGCGTCAGCAAGAGGAAGCAATTGCATTCCATTTCACCACGCTTATGGAAGACATTGAAATTGGTGCAATAAAGGGTCAGGTTTTTGACTTCAGCACTGAAAGTAGTACAGAAGTGGTGTTTTCACTTGGAGATATTCTACAGTTTGTCACTGCCTCTCCATCAATACCTGCTGTGGGTTATCAGCCACGCCCAGTAATTGCTTTTAACCACTTGGATACAGGCCGAAAGTTGCAAGCAAACACTTGTGCTAACAAGTTATTGCTACCAGTGAATGATCTTCTCTTAAACTATGATTCATTTAAGGAGGAGATCACATCATGTATTCTAATGTCTCCTGGTTTCGGTAATGTATAAGGAGTTTGACAAGGCGTATGAGTTTGGAGACAGTAACAGGCCAATCATATTCTTATAGTTTAAAGGGGAAGTCAAGTCCGTTCTGCGCCTCGGTTCTGCTCATAACAATGTGAGAACCTCTAATGTGAACATTGCCCAAATTTCGAATGTTTCAAATTTTTCTGAACATAAACTCTATTTCATATTCATTTAGAAGCATAGCGAACCAAAATTGTGTCAGATATTCAGACAGTACATCATATTTTAAAAAATACAGCAGTTCAAAATGTAAACAAACCGTTTGTTTACATTACGGACTTGACTTCCCCTTTAAACATTGAGCAAGACTATTTGTGTTGCCACATCTGATTTTTGGTTGTTTTATATACATAGTTGGTATAACTATATAAGTGAAAACAATTCTCAAATGTTTAGCTATACAAGCCAATAATCAAGTGGCAACAAATTGCCTAATGTTTAAACTATAATAAAATATCTGCGGCTAGCTTCTTACACAAAATTACCATTGAAGTGTAACTTTGTGGTCTTTGGCCAATAGTCTATATTGCAATCTCAATCCCAGAGAATGTCTATTTGTGGGTTATTTTGTTACATGATTGTGAGATAATTGAAATGAAATTTTCAAAAATCAGCCAATGAAATTTGTTATCTCATTCATGACACCCAATGAAATTTCACTTGCCAAAAAGGCATACTCCGAGAATGAGATTGTCTATATTGTTGATAAGGTTTCACCTTTTATCCAAGATAAGACAATGATTTAATAAAATATTTAACCTTATCAACTTCATTGTTAACCCGAAATTGAAAAAAGACTTGAACCTTATATAAACAATATCTGGTATCTGGATATGATATCCCAATCCAGGAGTTAAGCTCAGTTAAAACATTTCATATTACGTTTAGTTAGTTTAGTTCCTTATTACTTTATAATAAGATAAATACATGCCAGTATATACAGGTATGGCAGCAACAAGATACAGCTGTAGTAAATATTTTCCAAGTTTAAAGTTTTGTTAACAGTAAAACTATTGTTCTACTTTCAGAGAGGTTTTGTTTGCTTGCTATATTCAAATTAATTCTAAAAATAAAGAGTATATTTTGGTTATTAAAAAATAAATGTGTACATTTATTTCAAATCTTTTCTGATTAATGAATTGATTAATTCAATATAAAGTTCAAGTTAACCACTTAAGTTAAAATGTTACTCTGCAACAGAAGTGAGATGTATGAACAAATCAACTGCTTCTTGCCAATGATTTGGCTCTGACAAATTCTCATGTTCCAAAACAAAACGGAAATATAATTGATGGTCAGTTGCTTCATTTGCCTCTTTACACTGATTTTTCAATTCCTCCATGAGATCGTCATCTATCGGTTGAAGATGACTTGTTGCTCCTCTGCTCTCAGGATTAAAAAATAACTCATCTGGTCTACCAGCAACTGTTTCATGCCTTGAATGGCGGATGTAGTGTGTATTCCAATATAGGGTAAAAAATCCAAATCCCGTTGAACAAGCTGGGTAAAACAAAACCACAGAGCCTCCATGTGGTGTGGATAACATTCCCTAAATTCAAAACTCCCCTATCAGACAGATCTTTAAAAAAGTTCATCCACCAAGTGGTGCACCCTTTCCGTAACTGAGACCAAAAACTCTCAATTCTTTGATTACCAGTGGATGGTCCATATCGATGAGAGTTTTCTCCTGCAAGTTCGTCCTCTCCGTCTGCTCTTAATAAGCACTGCATCGTTGCCATCAGACCGTTTTCAGTACCACAGTCTGTCCTCAAAAGTCGGGGACATCCTTCCAGCTCTTCAATACAGTCGTAGAAATATTTTGCTGTTACTGCTGGGTCATTGTTTGTTCGTCCAACTTTAAGCCATAATAGACGACGGCTATATCCATCAATTGCTCCATGCACGGGGAATCCGTATGGTTTGATCTTATCGTACCCATCTACGTGCCAGCAATAATTAGGGCCGGGTACATTGTAGACTCTCCGTTTTAAACGGTGCCGTCTTCTATCCTGTGAGCCTTGTGGGTCCAGTTCCTTCAAACGTATTTGCACTAAATTTCTAGGAACCAGTATGCCGTATTTAATGCGTAATGTATGCCACATTGTCCGGTAACCGAATAAACAACCAGATCCGCTTAACTCCCTCCTCATAATTTCCGTTATTTCGTCCATATTTACTTCCTGCTGCTTCCTTTGCAAACCAAACATTTTAAGCCGCCGCTTCAAAGTCGACATTGACATTTTGATGGCATGAAACTTACTTAGAAACTGCAAAATTGATTCATATTCAAAGCCACTGTGAAAATAACTTTCGATAATTTCACGCTCAGAAAGTGAACCATTCCCTAAAATGACAGTGTTTGACAAATATCTTTTTTCTATATTCAGTCCACATTGCGGACAAAAAATAAACTCTCTTTCGATTTCACCTCCACAATGAGTACAGTATCCACAATGATCTTCAAGTAACTCGTTTTCCGCCATTTTTGTTTTCGAATTCTTCTGCGCCTGCGCAGCCGAACCTTCACCGACCAGTAACGGCGTTCGCCGATGTTTCCATGTGTTGCCAGTATTTTGAAATGTTTTTTCGATTTCGATTTTTGTTGTGTGATTATATTGAAATGTGTTTTCAATCATTTGGTTTTCGAGTGTGAAATGTGTTGTGAATATTGAAATGTGTTTTGAACAATTTTCGAATTGTGTTTCTAGTTTGCAAATGTGTTGTGACTATTGAAATGTGTTTTTAGCAATTATTGAATTGTGTTTCTAGTTCGCAAATGTGTTGTGACTATCGAAATGTGTTTTTAGCAATTATTGAATTGTATTTCCAGTTTGGAAATGTGTTGTGGACTTCGGCGTGTGTTTTTTAAATTGAAATGTGTTGTGACACTTATGGGCCACCGTAGATACCGAATAGAAAATTCCATTTCCCAAGAGTGCAATGGAACACGTTCCATTGCACTCTCCGCGAGTGCAATGGAATAAAACGTATAGTACAATTGCACTCTTTGTGTTTTCGATAAATCGCATCCCTCAAAATGCTTCT